AATGTCAACGATGTAGACAGGAAAGGGGACGATGTAGACGATGTCGTCACGATGTTGTCAACATCACGATGTCGGCGATGTCAACGATGTAGACAGGAAAGGGGGACGATGTAGACGATGTCGTCACGATGTTGTCAACATCACGATGTCGGCGATGTCAACGATGTAGACAGGAAAGGGAGACGATGTAGACGATGTCGTTACGATGTTGTCAACATCACGATGTCGGCGATGTCAACGATGTAGACAGGAAAGTGGGATGATGTAGAGTCAACATCACGATGTCGGCGATGTCAACGATGTAGACAGGAAAGAGGGACGATGTAGACGATGTCGTCACGAAGTAGGCGATGACAACGATGTAGACAGGAAAGGGGTCGATTTAGACAATGTTGCGAGCAGGTATAAAATCATGAACGGAGTTGACAATATCGGCGATATCGTCACTACATCGTGCACTGGACATACCTCTGTTGTAAGGCTTAACATTTTGTAGCTGGTTTTTATTGTTTACAATTTTTTACTTGTAAACCTTACGCAATAGTTAAATATGTTACCTCCTTAAGTTCTGCATCATAAATCTATTTCATTCCCGAAAGGGAAAATCTATTCAGAAAAACACGTTTGAAATTATGAAGGATTGGGAAGAGACTATGATGAATTAATTAATATTCAAACAAATAAAATGCCACTCAAGACAATACGACTCCGCATAACCAATCACACGTCTGTAATGTGATGCTAATGCCGTGACATTAAAAATCTCACATTGGAGTCAAATTTATTACATCATGAAATACTATAACGTATATAAGACAACTAGTTGACAAATTTTATCAATAAGTATCATCTCATTTCAATTACACAGACAGATAATTAATTGTTTCATAACTTTAAAATATCTATGAATGAGACGTCAGTTTTGGAGGGATTTTCCGTTCTGGAATCGGAATTGGAGGTCTGGGAAGATTATTGTGTGGCTTGCTTCCTGACTTTGATTGGTGAGTTATATCATAAAATCATAAAAAGAACTCATCATTCCCAATTATCTCGCAAAAATGTCAGGAAATTTTAAAATATTTCTGTGTAGAAATGAAAGTTAAAAACTAATTGGCTCATTTAGGATCAAAGGACAAGCAATCTTAATTTTGCAAAGCATTCAAAATTCAAAATAGTAACGCCTAAACATATGGGAAGCAGATATGCCCTTGTAATATTGACAGCATTTTTATAATTCATGGATAACATGACATCGATTAACGTATATATGGCTTGATTTTTGTTTGCTTTACTTCATTTTGTACTTCAATTGGCAACTTTGTCCTGCATATGCAGGTTCCAAAAAATTCAATAAAGAAGTCCATAAGATAGGCTCGAAAATTGTGTTGACCAGCATTTATGGGGTAGGGATCTGTTTTAGCATTGGTTTAGATGCCTATATTGTTAAAGCAAATTAACTCCTCGATTGTCAAAAACAAAAACTGTTAACTTGATAGATACTTTGTAAAGAACTGTAAACAATACATTGCTGAAACTGACTATTGTGATGAAATATGAATAGAAATGTACTAACGCAAAAACAACTTTGAAAAAACGCTACTTGGATATTATTATGCTTATATGCTGTGGTAAACTTTGGTATTCTTGTCTTTCGTGTTTGCTAATGTGTATTGTCTATATGCGTTTTTGTTTATCGTTTTGACATTTTTGCTTTTTTAATGTGTGATTAAGATATTTACATAATGTTGACTACTGTATCCCTATTTTTGACATTTTTACCTATTATGTCTGTTTCTTTTGTTTACACATCGTTTTCAATATAATGCAATGTTACGCGACGGTCATACAGATGAGAGTTTTAGCAAGCTTTGAAACCAGGCTTTATTCACCATTTTCTACATAAGAAAATGCCTATACCCTGTCAGGAATATGACAGTTGTTAAATATTTGTTTGATGTGCAGGATCTTTTAATTTTGCCATTTGCTTACGGACTTTCCGTTTAGAATTTTCCTCGAAGTTCGGTATTTAATTTTTTTACCTTTTATGTTCAGAAATCATATCACAGTTAAGAATGGTCTCTTAAAGATTAATTTGAAAAGTTTAAACTAATTGATGCATAGTGTTTAGTTGGTGACTTTATATGTAAAAACCAAAATTAAGTTATCAATACCTTGTTTTCAATAGATTTTTCAAAGTTACAAATCTAAAGTTGCAAATTTAGTAATACCGAATGTCTGATAGCCTTATCCGGACTCCTTTCTCGTGCCGATATAATATAAATGTCAAAACCGATAGTGTTTTATTTTATGGTTAAGTACGAAAAAAAGCATATATAACATCAAATAATGAGTAAACTATATGATTATTATTGTTCACAGTTTTTAAAAACATTATCGTGTAACTATGTTACTAAATTATCTATGAACCGAACATTAACGTATCAAACAAAATAGGAAACAGATGCAGTACTTTTACAGGTATACACTTTACTGCATCGAGTGGAAATTCTACATTCAATGTCTCACCGGTTGCAGCAATTAAATACCTAATACAAACGTTGAAGAATATATATATATATGTATAAACAAAAAAGACAAAAAAAAAAAAAACCCATACCCAGTTGTGGACCACGAGCATATGACCTGTTTAGCAAATCCAAGACAAGAAGTGCCTGAATTGAATAGATATATACATTGGCGGTATCTACTCCACATGGCCTTGCAGAGTTTCCAATTAGATAAATTATAGAATGACAATTATCAAAAAAAAGTATGACTTGAATCACGACTTTACAAAATCATTGACATTGTGGTAAGTGGAACCATTACAGACGGATATTCATGACTACTGTATAAGAAATGAGTTGTTTTATGTCAGTACCTAACTATGTTTCTCATCGTTTTTGAAACTTATACAAAATGAATGTAAAAGTCTGTCCGCATTACTGAAATTGTTGTTAAGGTGAAATATTAATTCGATAAGGATCACATTTGTCAAAAGGAGCATGTCATATTTATGCATTATAAAAAAGATATTCAAAAAAGAAGAACGTGTCTATTTGAAACATTTGATCAAGTTTAACCGTGGTTCGTAGTTAAATTTTGGAATGTAATACACAATAACAAAAAAATATTGTCCACTTAAATATTTACATTATTTTGACGTTGTGTGTACTCTTTTCCAAAATTCAGCTGTTAATAAATTCCCATATGTGAAATACTTGTACAAAGTTGATGAAATTCTGTAAAAATATTTCTTATAATTCATTAAGGATAAATTTATTTGCTGTCATGAGTGCTTTACAACATTCTTAAAATCCAGTAACAATAGAACTTGTACTGGTTGCTCTTTGTATGTCAACCCGCATTGATCATTAAATGTCAGTGATGTGATGTGGCAGTAAGTGTAGGAGTTATGACTACCACATTTGTTTTAAAATTAACGAATACGTAGAATCAGAACGTTTTTATAACCTTGGAAAGAGAGATTCTTTTGCACATGTTTTTACATTATTATTATTATTATTGTAATGTACTAGTTGTTTGCTACGTTGAAAAGGGAAAATGATAATCTACCAAACTTAAAAAGCCACATTAGTTCAAATATATAGTGCCTAAAACATCTTATAAAAAATTTAAACAACACGTTATAAATTTTATTAGTCCGAAGCGCTTTTAAGATTTACCTTCATCAGGAATCCTCAATGCCAAATATTTGAAAGCAAAGGACGTTTAAGAACCGAAACAGTTGAAGAGTTATACGATTAATAGTATATACAAAAATACTTAAATCCATCTACGGTTAATTTTTTCTGATGGAGATGAAACCTAATTTATCAACGCACAATTTTGGAAAAGGTTATAAATCATGTCAGTACCAAAGAATGGACTAATGAGTTGCTGATAACATCGGAGACTGAGAGTCGACCAGCTAAGGTATCGACCCAGTGCTTTAAAAAATGTAATTAACACGTATCAAATGTAATGCATTATCCGCTTTTGTTGATTTACCTTCATCAGGAACGCTCAATGCCAAATTTTTGAAAACCAAAAAGATACGCAATTATGTATTTAACCACATGAAGGTTGAACGTGAACTATATTTTTGCTTTTAAAGAGTCTCGCTCATTTACAATTGACAAATATTCGATCATTTTCTGAAGTCAATGTAACAAACTTATTTAGAACATTATAGAATGCGATTTTATTTCATGTTTACTATTTCTTTCGTCGCATTTGTAGCGTATTAACTGTTACGAATTGAAATGAAATAAAATGTTAAAATTTTGAACAAATATATTTTTTGTTGCGTTACACAGTGGAAAAGAATAATGCGATTCAGCGTCTTACAAGAAGTATGAAAAATGGACAATGCAAAATATAAAGGAGCAACACGATATGTTATTACTTTTACAATAAACACAATTCCGATGCCTCAAAAGTTTAGATACCACCTAAAAACTAAGTGCATATGTTATTGTTTTGAGAGGAATAACGAGATCGGAAAATCTAGCTCTAATAGTTATTGAAAAAGCCATCACGAAATGTAAAAACTGTAAAAATAAGAAATTTTAAAAGTCAAAATATGTTTTTGCACGGAAACTGTACACAAAAACTAAGTCTTCATACAAGCTGATTCCACTTTTTTACGTACTGAATCAGTAATATAAATGGATCAAATGGAAGAAAATAAAATTCTCTTGTTAATACAACGTTTCTCAGTGTTATTAAACAATTTACGCATCAATTCACACTCCAGATGACCACTAACACATTAAATATAGGTCATATTAAATCGAGGTTAATGTTGTTAAAGACACTCAGTGTTACAATATCTTCGCACCTTGTCCTGTTCAGATTTATTTCAAAAAATAGATTAGTGAAAACATTGACATTTACCTTAAGTATGTTAATATTGTCATTTTAAGTAATCTAATATGATTTCAGGCATAATAGCTGTCTTCCTGAATGGTTTTATAGTTTATGTGTTTGTACGGAAGATGAAGAAGTTAGCCTCTTGTGATTACTATATTTTAAATCTAGCTATAATTGACATCATTATGCCACTTATTGGGTTTCCATTGCCTATATATTCATCATTCCATCACGAATTGGCCATTGGAGAATATTGTAAGTTTTTTTTACTTCAGGAACTTTTGAGTTTGACCTCGTTCTAATTGAATACGACACCTTAGTGAATTTAAATGATATTCCAAATTACCAATTAATGCTATGATATTATTTGTTCAAATATGGTTAATATCAAGCCCACTTGTAGATTTTTTACATTTATCACAGATAGCAATTTTATCTTTTTGTTCTTGATAACTTGATCAAAGAAGAATTTAGGTGTCGTTAAAATAAAAAACACTAGAACACACCCGCAAAATCGCGGGCATTTAGAGCGTGGTTGAAAGTATGTAAACTATTGTAGGATGATTTTTTGTATAAGAATTTATGATTGGAGAATTTCAGGAACGGTATCATAAGTCATAGGTACTTGGGGACAGGCAAATTTATTTTAGCCCTCCCCCTATTTTCCAAAGTCCGTTTTTTTCTGTTAATTTCAATTATTTTAGTAAACTTGGAATTGATAGTAAATAGCAAATACACTTTACACTTTATTTATAGTATATGTATGATCATAGTAAACAGAATAATGCAAATATAATTGTCCTGTCCCCAAGTACTTTATTTAAATTTTTTAAACAGTCCAAAACGAAATTTGAAGCCTTTTCTATGACTTAAAGTCCGTCCGATGACGGAAACAATATCCGTACGCCTTTATTTTCATTTTCCTACCAAAATAATCCAAACTGAATAATCATAAGTGAGGATGACAAATGCAGCTATGCATGGAACCTATAAGACACAAAGTCATGCTGATTAATTTATTGTGGAAGTAAGAGAATCGACGGACAAAATGAGGTTTTCTCATTTAATGTAATAAATTACAAATTTTGTATTTTGGTTGAATTTTGTAATTTTGTATTTCGAGAAACAAGATGTGTTGATTTCATGCAACAAAAAAGATAGATTTGAAATTTTTGTTGTCCAACGTCATATTTTGAAATTAATATGGGAAATATATCAATAAACCCATTAGGTAGTGTTTGCAAATAGGGTCGATTAGAATGAAGGGAAGGAAAACATGGAAAACGGCGTTAACTGTTCACCTATACTATAGATCATCACAAGCACGCCATTCATCGTTACACCATACATCATCCCCTTTTCTTTTCCCTTTTGAATCATACATGATTTGAACCAAAATTATCGACACTTTTAGTGGAATTGCAAATGATATATGTATAAACACAACTTTAAAAAACGAACTAATGTTAAACAGTACAAGGCTTCTTATATACCATACAATTATCCCCATGAACCAGACACGTTCGATTGGTAAATTTACACCTTGCTGGACTGTACAGAAAACACGGTTATGTTGTCTTTAATGTAAACCTATTTGTTTTTTTCAGTGTGTGCAACATATGGTTTTACGGGCTTCTTTTGTGGAGTAGTTAGCATCAGTACTCTCGCTGCTATTAGTCTCGCCAGATACGTACAAGTCTGTAGAAAAAACCATGGTAAGAACTTATATTTAAGGAATCAACTCTCATCAGAACAATAATAGAAGTTTAATTTCGGAAATCAATTAATTTCTCGGCGAGTACTTTAAAATTTAACTATCGAGATTGGATAAATCCGATAATCCACGAGATACTATGTAAGAATCCGTTTCTCTAATGATTAAAAAATAAATTTTCATTTTTTGTTCAACGAAAATCCCCTTCGAGAGCCTTCCACATTCCAAAAAGTTGTCAATTTCATTAACACCTGTCGGCATATTTTGATTCATTCAGTTAGCTGATAAAGGTTATGACCCCCAAAATCAACCAATCATCTTCTGAGATCACCAGCAACCACACGTTGATTACATTTTTTTATACAATGGGTTCGGGAAGGGTTAATTTACCATAGAATTAGAGAAACGTATTTATCATGCATTTTTAACTAATAATTACATCAGTTTTTTTTATAATCTAATTTTCTTAGTTTGTAACAATACTACTGAATGTTATATAATAAAAACATTTTTTTCATTTCAGCTCAAAAGTTGGTGAAGAATACAAAATATTGTATTGGAGTAATATACTGTTATGGTGCTATTTGGGCCTGTCTGCCAATAACCGGAATCAGTGGATACGGTCCAGAACCTTATGGTACTTCCTGTACTCTTCAATGGGAAGGAAATTATGTATTTGTTTCGTTCTTCTTAATTTTCTGTGTTATAATTCCTGTTATAATAATGAACGTATCTTATGGAAGGATATTGGTTTATATTAGGAGATCAAGACGACGAACATCACGTACGATAATTAATGCGAGTGTGAGATCGTCAGTGAAGAAACGAGCTAGAGAGACGTATTTAATCAAGGTATTTATGAGTGTTACCCTTTTGAGACACCTGCTATCACACCAGTTTTTGAGTAGTGTTTGTAATACTCAATCTTATCTTTAGGTTTCTAGGTTCTGTTTTGAAAACTGTTGTTAGTCTTTTGATCTTTTTCATTTTTTGTCATGGCGTTGTCAGTTTATTTTCGACAGTTGCGTTTCATTGTACCTATCGACTTTCATGTGTTACTATTGAGTTTTATCTTTAAACATACCATTATAAATGCTGATATTTTTGAAATGGATGTTCCACGCAATAATAATAATACAATTAGAATAAGCAAAAAGTACTCGACGCGATTTGATAAAAACATACAATTAGAATACAAAACAGCTGCGAATATATAAACTTTTAGAAAATTAATAATGCATTACACTGAAGAACAGAAAAATAATATGATAAACAAACGAGTCTCATTTATATTTAGTGATTTTAATGATGCATCGAATTTCAAGGTTATTAACTCCCAACTGTATTAAAAGGATTTGACCTTATTAGTCTTGACAATATATCACATTCATTAGTCGCCGGAAAAATGTATAAGCAGAAAACATTTCCATATTCAAAGTTTATTAACCGTATAATCTGGAAATGGGAATACCAGTAGTAAAAGTTATCCAATATAAAGATAATACATACTTACATTTGGCTAGATGTATAAGGGAAGGGTAGAGCTCTCAAAAAACCCTGCCGTATTTTTGCGTCGGTCCTAACAAAGGAACCTTTAGCTGTTTTTAAGTCCTGCACGTGTTTTCTGATTAACGTTTTTAGTTTACTGTTGCATCCATTTGGATCACCTATAGCACAATATTCTTAATACGCCTGATGAATAAAGGCAACAGTAGTATACCCTGTTCGAAAGTCATAAATCGATTGAGAGAAAACAAATCCGGGTTACAAACTAAAACCGAGGGAAACACATTGACTATAAGAGGAAAACAACGAAACAACAGAAACACTGAACTGTCTACGGGTGCTGTGTTTTCTCGCTGAATTGAAGATCCGTAGATGGCATTGGTCTGTTTTCTGTTCTTTGGTCCGGTTGTTGTCACTTATATGCAATTTACTTATAAAATCATAATAAATACCGATATATGCTTTTACGTATCGTTAACTTTCAATATTTTAATATTAAGAAAAAGAAAACTAACAACAATGCCGAACTCTATGGAAAATTCTAAACGGAAAGTCCCTTATCAAATTGCAAAATCAAAAGCTTAAACACATCAAACGAATAGAGATCAACTGTCATATTCCTGACTTGCATTTTCAAGCAGTTTCTTATGTAGAATATACTGAACAAAAAATAGAAACAGAAAACAATTATCAAATAATAAGATAAGTTGTACATTCAATTGCCACAAATTACATTTACGGATATGTCAACTATTCTCAAAGATAAGATAGCAACTCATTCCTTACCTTTATACACTTGTTAATTTAAGTTCGAAAGGTTAGTTTAGGTATACTGCTATAAATCTATTAGTACAATTGATTTAATTTTTAACTGTTTCTTTTACAGATGACATTTACTATGTGCGTCGTATTTATTTTGTTGTGGTCACCTTATGCTGTGGTCAGTTTATGGACAGCTTACGGCAGAAAAGATGTGGTTCCTGTTCGAGTTACATTAATTACTGTGCTGATAGCAAAACTTTCAACGATAATTAATCCGATAGTATATTTTGTATTGAATAAGAAGTTTCGTCCTTTTTTACGACAATATACCGCATTCATAAGAAAGACCACTAGTTCATCAACTTGACTTGTGTAAAATATTGTAAATTAAAATTTATTAGACAATTGTTTATGCAATGAACATACATGTCATATGCAACAATAAAACGTGTCTTTTCAAAGTAGTATTTTTTTTCTTGAATATTCCGTCTCACTATATTCATTTCTGTATAAAAATAATGCTAATAAATAAAGGCATTAGTAGTATACCGCTGTTCAAAAGTTATAAATCGATTGAGAGAAAACAAATCCGGGTTAAAAACGAAAACCGAGGGAAACACATCAACTATAAAAGGAAAACAACGAAACAACAGAACACCGAAGTGCACCAAAAACAAACGACAATGCAACATACATAGAAACGAACTATTAGACAAAAACTGCCATATTCCTGACTTGGTACAGGACATTTTTAGAAAACATGGTGAGTTGAACCTGGTTACCTGTTACCTCTTTTTGACAATATATATTTGTTAAATTACTGAATACATGATATTGACTATAGTTGTAAGCACGCTGATATTGACTATAATTGTAAGCACGATACAAGTATTTATGAAATTTGTTAGGATATAGAATGCATAATTGTATCATGAGTTTAAAAACAGAACACACCTTAAATCAACTGTTAGATAAGATGGACAATCGTTTTCAGGAGATAATCCTGTAAATACAATATCATATTCATGATTTACCTGGATGAACTTTCATTCACCTATTTATTCTTAAAACTTAGTGAATGATTTAAGGTATTAAAATATAGAATTACTGCACGAATAATAATAAATAAGTTCTCAATTATAACATCTTAAGTCATAATCGTGGGAGAAATTGATATATACTATTGATAGGGCAGTAGCCCTTTACTGTGTTGCAAGCAAAGACAACAGTAGTATACCGGTGCTCAAATGTCGTAAATCGATTGAGAGAAAACAAATCCAGGTTACAGACTAAAACTTGAATGAAAAAATTAAGGAACCAAGTTTATAAGTTTTATGCGACCGAAATGCTTTTCTTCCTTAAGAACGATTTAAGCCGAATATTTGAAAGATAATAAAAGATTGTCATAAATCATAAACCTGATATCGTCGCATTTTTATCGATCTTCCATTTATGGAGAAAATTGGATGCTTACTTTTATCATCAAATAAATAAGGATACTTAGGGGTGCAAACATGAGGAAGACAAACGACTATGCATATATTGTTTTAAACTCTAATTATACAAGTTTTAAACAGAAGTATACATAAGAAAGTTATTTCCTTTCATGACATGTTACAGGTATTTCCTTATGTAGAAATGACGGATTAAACCTGGTTTTGTAGCTACTTAAACCCCTCATAACAGTCGTATACAATTCCAGTATATTCACATCAACGTGTAAACAAAACTAACAGAGATAATTGGAAAAAACGTCAAAAAAAGTGTACAACATAGTGTTTTAATATTAATCACTATAAAAGCAAACAAATATGTCATCAAAATAAACAAAACAAAATAGTACATAAACAATGCACATTAGCAAAAATGAGAAGAAAGAATACAAAAAATACCCATAGCACGTTTTTTGTTTGCAATTTACGGGTTGTCAGTTCCTTCGGTTTACGTTGTTTTTGCCTAAAGAACCCGTAGTTTCTGATACAATCCATGCAAACTCATTTGAAAGAATCCAAAAGGTATCAGTTTAGCATTTTAGTATGGTCTTACAATATTGTATTTATCATTATTGTCATTAATTTTATTTACAACAGTTAAAAACATATCAGAAGTTATTTCTATCCAGATATGTACACTTATATTATCACCTACACACTACTAGAAATAGCAATGGTTTCAAAGCGAACACAAATACACGGTTAGTTTCCAACATATAGTAACACTGTAAAACACCACTGATAAGGCGATGATTGATCGGTCAAAATCATAATATATTATATGCCGGTCCTTGAGCCAAGATAATTTAATCCGGTGGTTGTTGTTGCCATACTTGTTTAAGCATAACTAATGCCATTGTATGTTTTCAATTGATTTCCATGTTGTAATTCCGTGTATTTTTATAGCGTACATCCGATGTACATAGGATACAAAAGAATAAAAGACGAGTTATGATTGCCAATGAGACAACTCTCCACCAGACACCAAATGGAATAGAAATTATCAACGTTAGATAACCTTCAACAATGAGCAAAACCCATAACGCTTTGTCAGCTATCAAAGGCCCCAAAATGAAAATGTAAAGCATTTCAAAGGAGAAAACTAACAGCTTGTGTATGTACAAAACAATGAACGAAAAAATAAATGATACATGTGATATGCAGTTCTCCCTTTCGGTCAAGTGCGTTTTATATATGAAAAATATGGAGAAGTTGTATAATTGTCAATAAGACAACTTTCAACCAGAATTTCGTTATGAAGATAACGGAGTATATCGTTTCCTAATGGGCAGCTTCTTATAATTCAAAATGGAGGAATCTGTTGGTTCACCATAATTTATTACAGAGAAATTGCACAATCTATTGTTTGAAGCTTTTTTGTTTAAAAAACAATGTCCTTTTTTATATAGGTTATACATGTTAGAAACAAATACATTTTGAGGTTAGAAACCATGAAAACATGTAGTATATGACATTTTTATACTTTACTTTAAAATGTCACATTTCAATTGGCTGTAAATATTAGTGTTGAATTGCTATTAGCCTTACAAAATGTTGCAACGACGACCCCGATTTGGCCTACCATGAAATATCGGAATGGTCGTTATTTTATTCTTGGTCATTGTGATAGTTTATTTTTTATGTGTTGTCGCCAATTTTTAAATTCCCTCTACCCTCGTATAAGTTAATTGTAGAATGCACACCTTGTCAGTGTACATCGGTAACGCGCTGTGTATCACTCAGAAGCGAACTAAAACATTCATTACATTTGTATATTTGATGAGTTTATATATAAATAGGACACGACTTTGGCCTTTGTAACATATAAATCTTGTTTTGGGAAAAATTCAAATGGAGAGTCCCTTATCAAACGGCAAAATCAAAAGCTCAAACAAATCAAACACATGGAAAACAACTGTCATATTCCTGCCCTGGTTCAAGTTTTTTTCTACACGTAGAAAATGTTTTTTTAATTACATAATTAATGTAAAGATATTTTCGGGTTCATTTTTATTTTGAGATATTTCCGTTTTCGTTAGTTTTGTATGATTAAATACCAAACAATTATCTGCTTATGTTTATAAAACCTAGGTATCAATAATATTGATTCTATTTGATAAAGAATAGAGTGTATGTACCTTCTTCCCAATGTGCTGAAGGTAAAAAAAACGAAAATTAAATAA